CCTGTCTAACACCTCTCTGCTGTTGGATAGGTTTCGTTCTCTGTTTCTGTACGATGGTTCTGTGTGGTGGTTCTGGATCGGATAGCCTTCGTATAGAAATGAACAACACAGAACAGAACGCAGCACTTTAACTTATTATTTCATATTTCAGTAATAGAATGCAGAAAGTTATTATCAATGGTAAAAGTTTTTCCGGGTCACCTGTACTAATGGGTGTCCCTCATGGCTCCATTCTCGGCCCATTCCTATTTTTAGTGTATATTAATGACTTACCTTCCCTTTTAGGGGATAGTTATGATTATAGGATAGGATTATTTGCTGATAATACTTCCTTGACTTTTAAACTTAAAAGTCAATCATTTAAATGTGACGACGTGAATAATCTCGTATATCAAAATAAGTGCATTGGTTTAACGTTAATAATCTACATTTAATGGGAAATAAAACTAAATTTATTAAATTTACAACAATGAATGTTAAAAATCTGAGTACCAATGTGTTTTAAATGGGGAAGAACTGAGCCCTGTTGAATCCACTATTTTTCTTGGCATCACTCTCGACGCAAAGCTTCAGTGGAGCCCCCATATGTCCAAACTAGCAAGCAGACTAAGTTCTGCAGACTATGATGTAAAAAATATTAGAGGTCTCACTAGTGGCGAGACAGCTAGATTAGTTTATCTCAGTTATTTCCATAGCATAATGTCTTATGGGATTTAGCTATAGAGAAATGCGGCTGATTCAGAAACTATTTTTGTTTTACAGAAGAGGGCCATTAGAGCTATTTACAACCTAAAACCGAGACAGTCTCTTACAGATAAATTTAAAGAAATAAATATATTAACTTTGGCTTCTCAGCATATTTACCAAAATTTAATGTATGTTCATAAAAACAAAGGTAGTTTTAGTAAAAAAAGTGATATACATTCTGTAAACACTAGGAACAAACCCAAGCTAGTGATACCAGTTTCTCGACTCCACAGATTCAGTAATTCATTCCTGGGGCAATGTATACGGCAAGGTCCATTAGACGAGCATTCAAACGATGTCCTGTTTTTCTTCGATATGCCCGAAGCCCTAAGTCTTCATTTAACACCCTTTTCACCGCGGTTCTGCTTAACCCCATCTGAAGGGCCAACAGTTTCTGCTTACGTTTGGGATTTCTTTGAATTCGCGCCTTCACAGCTTTTATCACTGCTGGAGTCCTAACAGACCGAGGGCAACCACTTCTTGACCTGTCATTTACACTAGAGTCTTCATTGTATCGTTTGATGGTACGATAAATGAATCTTTTGGTTATATTCAAATTTTTCAATATGTCAAAAATTTGAATTGACGCGTAACCGCAACGATGCAACGCAATAACTGCAACACGGTCTTCTTTAAGCGTCCACTCCATATTTAAAATGAGTAAAATTCTAAAAAGTATACAGTTTTATTTTCATGAACAATTCGAAATTCGAATTCAATAAACTTTTTTGTGGCCAGCATTCTAAAAGAAAAGTTTTTACTGTGTGACCATACTTATGACCTGACTAGGTATAGTTTGTACAACCATTCATGTAAAATATGCTTTTAAAAAAAGTCCCGCTGGGTTTCTTGCTGGTTCTTCCCAGGACAGAGGTTTTTTTTCGAACCGGCGGTAAAGTAAAATTACTTTCAATAAGAATTACACATGTAATCTAATATTGAGTAAAAAATTATTCTATTCTATTCCATTCTGAAACACTTCCGCAGTTTGATATGCCGACAGTCAACTTGGCATCGCTGAAGGGACTGCAGCACCGCCCAAATTTCGACGGAACCAAAGGCTTTCTCTCAGTTCACATACCCAAGACAAAGTGATAAATTGTACTCTTCGGTCTTCTGTACAATTTACCGAAGGGTATGTATGTCGTCTATGGTACTAAAGCCTTTTCGGTATTTGGCATGTTCGGGAGGCTGCAAGTCGTCGAGTTTGCGTGCGAGACCATTCGTAATGACTCTCGAAAACAGCACATACGAGGGGCACACTGAAATGATTGGGAATAGAATATTTCGGATTGAGTTACAATAAAACCGTTTTTAGAATTTGAGTACTAGCCTCTTAGAATCTTAATGACATTCAAACAATTTAAAAAATGTTATAAAACAAAAACTATGTTGGTTTAAAGTTGACACGTCGTTAACAGAAATGGGGCTCACGCGTGAACATTTCCGTGCCATAATTTATCACAATTTTCGTCGCGGCTTATCTCAAGATAAATGTCTCAGCGAACTTGTTTCGATTTTTGATGTTGCAGCACCGACTCAAACGACAATATACCGCTGGTATGCCGAGTTCCGACGCGGTCGTGTGTCGCTCAGCACTGTTTCTTCTGCAGGTTAGCCAAGAACAGCGGTCGGGCCTGAAAACATCGCAGCTGTGCGGACTATTATATTAAATGAACGTCATGTGACATACGAGCAGATTCGAGTTTATTCGGTTCTATTATCAGTATCGAAATGACTGCAATTTAGTCGATATTACATAATGAGCTGTGTGTAAGAAAGCTAGTTTCCCGTTGGGTTCCCCACAATTTGTCCGCAGTGCAAAAGGCGGCTCGCGTAGATTGGAGCCGGAGTACTCTGTAACGCTTCAACGGAGGGAAGTCAAATGCCGTTTATAATATCGTCTCAGGTGACGAGTCATGGATTTATTCATACGAACCTGAAAGAAAACATCAGTCAGCAGTTTGGGTCTTCGAAGACGAGGTCAAATCAACGAAAGTGGTTCGTTCCCGCAGCGTGTCAAATGCCGTTTATAATATCGTTTCAGGTGACGAGTCATGGATTTATTCATACGAACCTGAAAGAAAACATCAGTCAGCAGTTTGGGTCTTCGAAGACGAGGTCAAATCAACGAAAGTGGTTCGTTCCCGCAGCGTGTCAAAGAAAATGGTCGCTACGTTTGTCTCGAAAAAGGGGCATGTTGCTACAATTCCTTTACAGGAACGCTGAACTGTTACCGCTGAGTGGTATATCACGGTTTGTTTGCCATAAATGATAGCCGAACTCCGAAATAATGACCCGAAACGCCGCATCATCTTGCATCACGATAATGCGAGCTCCCATACGGCTAGGAAGACAAATGATTTTTGAAGCAGGAAAACGTTGAGCTAATGAGCCATCCTCCGTACATTCCTGACCTGAGCCTACACGATTTCTTTACATTCCCTAGAATGAAAAATTAACTACGCGGTCAACGGTTTGAAGACCCCAAAGCAGCTGTGGAAGCGTACAAATCAGCCATTTTATCAACATCAACTTCAGACTGGAATTACTGTTTTAATGTTTGCACGAATGGAAAAAATGGAAATGGCCCCGAGTTTCCGGCACCCCTTTAATGGGGCAGAGGTGCGAAGAATCTCCGGAAGAAAAACCGGCGACGAGGTTCACCACCTGTCACGTTCTGTCCCCGGAGGGGCGAAAAGTGAATTGTGGAGCAATGAATGATAAGATGGATGAAGTATGCGATAAGATGGATAAAGTATGCGATATGATGTATGATAGAGGAATAGACGTGTTATGCGTGAATGAGACGAAACGGAATGGAAAGGATGCCACTACACATGGCATGTATACCGCGTACTGGTCTGGTGTAGACGAGACCGAGTGGGCATGCCAGGGATTCGGTATCATCCTTTCAGAAAGAATGGGTCATTGTGTGAAAGAGTATGAGAGTGAAAGCCTGCTATGATGAGACTGCTATGGATACGAATAAAAGTGGGTTTAAAGAAATTGTTTGTTCTAGGGGTCTACGCCCCAGATATGTGTAAGCCCACTTATATCCGAGAGCACTTTTGGGAATTGGTAAGGATGGTGCTAATGAAATGCAAGGGTAATGAAAATATTGTGATATTAGGAGATTTTAATGGAAGGGTTGGAGGCTTGATTATGAAAGGATATTGGGAACAGTAGGGTAATATTGGGGTTGCTGCATCACTCACATCCGTTCGCGATGCAGTTCGCCATAATATTACACTAAACAGCTATACATTTCCATTTTTTCAAGCAGATGTCTTCTCAATTCTGTGTCACTCTTTTTAACTCACAGCGATTTATCATACTCTTTCAAACATTTATTTATATAATCTAACCCTTTCACGGCGTTCACATAAAAACATTGAGGATAATGTAATGTGTATTGCATCCACGGATCATCGTAAATCTCCCAATCTCTAATAACTCCTCCACAGGAAAAACAAGCAGCTGTATCATTTATGCTATCGCCAAAATAAAAGAATCCCGCATCAGCCATTTCATTCACCACTGCTTCTCTTAAATCACTCGTTGCCCAATAATGGCTTAATGAAAATAAGCGTGTTTTATATGAATCATATAAACTATATCGGGGTCTGTATTCGTTTTGAGACATGTCCCTCATGCTTTGTGGAGGTTTGATCTTGCTGGTTGCAAGAGTATAATGAAGCTGCAAAGCTGCGCTGATTCCTTATTAATATTTTAAAAAAGTTGCTGGTGGAGAGTTTTTTATGAAATAAAATAAAGAATATTTCAAATGTTATTATCAGAGCACCATTTATTAAAACAAAAAACATTTTTCAAAGCACATACTGAGTCGTGATTAATACAACTATACAAATCTTTATAATCTTTATATCGATCATACAGATTTAACAAACTAGGATACCCTTTATCTTCTAAATTAATTATATTACCATATTGTGAGATGGATTTAAACCATAAAACTTTTTCTAAACCTTTGACGTATATACATTTATCCTTTATATTATCTGCAATCAAATTCTGATAATTTAAATAAGGTGTTACTCCCTCACACCAATATATCTTTCTATTAGGTTGAAACCAATTTACATGTTTCTTTTCTTTTACAGTCAATTTGTAAAAAGGAAATGGTGGTTTAATTAAAAGTCGTTGTATTTTATTGTTACACAATATTGCAATTTCTTTCACTATGAATTCATTTCTTTCTGTTTTGAAACCTTGCACATCTACGATAGCAGTCATGTCAACTTGCGCACTATGTTACTTAAAGGCTTATATTCCACAAGTTGATCGTTAATGATTAAACAATATCCAGTTGTCTCTCTGGTATTGCCGTTGTACATTCAATCTCCAAACGAACATCTACGGGTCCCGTTTTTAGACTGTCGTTTTGTCTTGAACAATCTATCACAAATAGCGGAGCTTTCTCCTTAAAGCTACTTAAATCAAGCAATGGGTCTGCGGGACAGTTGTAGTACAACTGGCGAAATTTCACATACATTTCGTAAAATATATTAAATTTGTTTTCAGAAAACTTTAAACATAAGGGCTCGTATGGGTAATATTGTGAATTCAAAAACAATGTCAAATTTCTCACTCCACAGTGATCAAATACTGAACAGTCTTTCATTTTTTGATTTTTTCTGTTTGTTTGTAAACAAAAGATTACATATCGAGGTTTCTCTAATTGTGACGCAGTCTTAATAGACCAGGAATGCTTAGTTGCTGTAGGAAGTATAGGGTATTCATATAAATCCCAATTTCTAAATGCCATCTGTATAGGTTTATCTCTTTCTAAATGTTTAAGAAGTTTCAGTCGTTCACGATCTGATAATTTCACATGTGGCACTCGCCATTGTATTCTTTGTATATCTATTTGAAAATGTGCAACATCTTCAGTTCCTATAATACTATTTATGTTAGAATTACTTCTGTTCAGTATAAGTTCATGTTTACAATTTATTACAATTTTAGCATAATTTTCTGCAAACCCTAAAATCTTATTTAAAGGTACAGTAGCACTAAAATCACTGTTTTCACTTTTAAATCCATCCATATCCCAACCCCACAAAGCTGCTACTTTATTTTCTGCTTCATTCATTGAAATGTATGATTTAATTGTTGACGTTATACCAGCATTTTTAATACGATCTATTTCGATTCCATTTATCTCATACCTTATATCTTGAAACAAGAACATAATAGGATTATTACTTAACGTAACAGGTTTTTTAATCTGGTTTCCATCTTTGCTGAAGAGCTTTGCACGACCTTCGATGTAAATTGAACTGGCTGATCAATTAAGTAAGTGGTTGGAATTGTGCTCTGTAATTTTCGAATTTTAAATATTGCTGTCGACCAATTTGGAGTATATCCTTTTTCGAATGTACCTTTGTATTTGCTTATACGCACATAATCACCTACTTTAAACTTACGTTTTACATTATCATTCTTTGCCAATCTAAGGTATCTCTGTAGTATTCGTTTTTTACTTTTATTATTAATATTGGCTGGAATTTCACCAATAGTTCGATGATAAGTGTGATTGTATTCGTAAATAACATTATTAAGAGTATCGCCTATCCCGTTATAATTACCCTGTAAACTAAATGCTTTATACAATTTAGATTTCAAAGTTCGAATAAATCGTTCAACTATGGAAGCTTTCTTTGTTGAAAAGGTTGAGTAATGATTAATATTATAAGAATTCATAATTTTTTTAAACTTATCGTTATAAAACTCTGTTCCGTTGTCGGTTTGCAGATTTTTGGGTACACGTGTTTTTAGGAGCTTCATAACATTATAGCATACGTCCTCTTTACTTTTAGTCTTAATTGGAAAAGCCCAAGCGTATTTCGAAAATGTATCAATAACGTTAAGAATAAATCTGAAGTTTTTGTTTTCCTTAGAAACTGATTGCATATCAATTAAGTCTGCTTGCCATAAATCATCTATATCTTTCTTGATAACATTTCTACGTGGGAAATTTACCCTAGCATTTCTATGAATTTCATTTACTACATCGGCTTTACTCATGTTCAAAAAAATAATGTATTTTATTTTATTATTATGTTGGTAGTTATTAAAAATAATTCGTTTATGCTACTTGTTACTTAAATAAATACAGACAATTTTTTAGTAATTTGCAACATGAGCAACTTCACCAATACTGAGTAAAAGCTAGTAATAATTAGTATTTTATTCCTTTATAATGTTAGCTTCTTTTAATTCGTCAATGATCGATAAAATTTCATTATCATGATTTGTATTGCCTGCATCTCTTGAAGCTATTAAAAGTTTTAATCTATCAGCGTTAATTTTATATTTCTTAAGCTTAGGTAAATTACCTCCAAGCTTTTCTACGATTTTTTATATTTCATTAAGGTCTCGGAAAATAATGGTTTAATTATTTTTCGATATTTAATTCCCTTATCACCTCTTATTTGACATCTAGGGTTAAAATCTCTCTTATGAGCGTTAGTATGGTGGAGAATATCTTTGTACACGAGTTTATCAGCGCTTGATACTAAATTCAAATCAGGTTTTTTTCTAAGTAGAAGTTCTCTTAACCCGATAGTTAAATTGTAAGATGTCTCCAATTTTTACTAAAAATACAGTTTCGTTATCCAAACTGTCAATTTTAGAAAAATTAACTTCTGAATTTCCCATGTAAGTTTTCTTTTCTTTTCTTATCCCAAATGGTATATTTAATTTATCATCGTAAATATCATAAATATAATTCCGATCTAACGAAGCCTCTAAATTGTCTTTAATTTAATTTTTTGGGGATTCTGCAGAACTCAAGTCAGCATCGTAATAGTTCTGAAATTCCGATTCAAATGATCCAGCAGAACTTGCGCATGATTGCATCGATAAATTATGGTCTTGATTTGGTTTTTGCTTATTTACTATGATTTTAAGGGGCTCTGTAACAGGTTGTAGCATTTTATCTAGGGATAAGTTCAGTTCATGCTCATTATTTTTCATTTTTTTTTTATTTTATTCTTTATGGAGTCCACAGACTTCATTAATTCGATTTTAATTTGCTTTTCCATAATGCTTCACAATACTTCATTCTGTCGCGACTACAATAAAATTAAATAGTTTTATCTAAAAAACCCGTTTATAATAGTTTACTCTAGGTTAAAAAAAATATCAAAATTTTTTCTATACCTGCCATTGTTTAACGGTGAATCTTTGTTAATACAAACAAAATTATACGGCTTACTCCAAACTATATTACAAATAATTTTAAATTGATTCCATGACATATCAGAACTAACATGTTCTTTATAAATATGTTTAATTCACATCATCTTGTTTAAATATTAAAATAAAATTGGCATTGTCTCGCAGCAATTGTTTCGGAATTTTTGAGTAGGTCTGAGATAACTAAAAGCAATCGATTTGCTTGTGCTTGCCCATAGAAAAATAATTTCGAATGTTGATTTGATTTTCACAAGCAACATCATCAAAAATAAATACAGAATGTTTAAAGCTTCACTTGGACCTATAACGTCTTTGTTATCATTGAACTCATAAAATGAAATATTAGGCACTCTTTTAATTACTTCTCGTAAAAAACGATATTTTGGTTGATAGTTAGTTTTTGAATACAAGTAAAGATTTTGAAATTTAAGCCCATTTTCATGCAACAATAAACTTATTACAACATTGTTTTACCGCAATTAGGGGGACCGCACATTATACAGCGAATGGTATTTGGTAAAAGAATGCTATGTCTGATCTTGTAAGCAGAGTGATCAATATTAATATTGCTAACGCTTAGCGATATGGGTTGTTTGATCAACTTCATCGTGTTTATTGAATGAGTTACTAACCTACAATCATAGGTATATATTTAAATTTTACATGAACAATTTTAGAGAGAAATGCATGTCACATCATGTCTGTTCTGCTAAATGTTCTCCTATTCTCGTGTTACAAATTTCTTAGTAGGTCTATGCTTACTTTGCAAAATAATGCTATTCTGATCTTCCAAATCCTGAGTATATTATGCTTATTCTCTAAATTATACAATTCTCATCTTACAACACGTAATCACGTCATTTCGCTACAGTACTTTCTATAAAGAGCACGTTTGTTTCTTTAGCTGAAATTTGGAGTAAGTACTTTAAATGAAATATTTAAATAATAAAGTAACTTATTCTATTTTCTATTGTAATTCTAACTCTTATAAATGTAGTAAAATATGTAACTTATACTCATTTTTGTTTTTCAGAAACATGTCACATACGCCATCTTACAGTCCAGTTTTGGATAGCTTAGAAAATATACGTGAGGTAAGTTACTATTTAGTTTTTATTATTTTTAAATTCATGGGTAGTAATTTTATATCTGGCTTTCAGAATTTGATAGAAGACTCAAACCCAATTACTAATCCATTTTACTATGCACAAGATAGGCAAGGCTGGTACGATGAAGTGGCGACAAAGACGTGCGAGCAGAGCCGTCGGCAAAAATCGGAGGAAAAACTAAAAAATAAAAAAATCAATTCAAGTTCTTTGAAAAATACATCATTTATCATGCGAAAGGAAACGGGTAATGTACATCATTTAATAAAAATTATAATACATGATTTAGATGGTCGTAATATCGATGAAATAAATACTGAATCTGGAAATGCAGCTGTGAACGTGCAATATCTAGTGACAAGTGCATATGATGACATCATGGATGAGACAGAACATTTAGTTTGTAAAGTGGTAAAAAAACTAAGCAAATCTAGTATTTAAGTTTGAAATAAATTAATAAAATTTATGTATAAAAATTACTATAAATAAAAGTTAGTATTTAAATTTATTGTTTTTATGTAATATTTAGTATTTAAGGATCTAATGGGATGATAAATAAAACAAAAATTGATTATGATAATACAGTATTTTTATTTCAACTTACATATAAAGGTTTTTATATTTTAGCTAGAGTTATAATAACGGTATGCTAGTTACAATATAGAACATATTTGCAGTAAAGAATATTCAAAATAAAGTAATTTGTTTTCATTTGCATATTATGTTTATGTTTATATTTTGTTTATAAATTACTATTACTTTATTTCATCATTTCATTCTTCATTATTTCATATTTCATCATTAGTTAAAATATAATGCTATTTAAAATAAATTGCTATAATGCCCCAAGGCAAAGTTTTATACATATCTTCACATATTTATCGCTTATCATCATTGCCACTAAGAATGAGCTTATTTATTTTTTGCGTATAAAGTATATGATTCTTAGATCGTATTACGTACATAGTGTCTCTATGGGTTTTCTTAGAATTTAAAATATCTCTATACTTTTCAATAGTTAGTTTTTTTGTAATATGCTTTTTCACACCTTTTGCTTTTTTAATTGCGGACTTTAAAGTATTAACGCAGTATAATTTTGCTTTCAAGCCTATTAACTCTGTTATAATATCACAACCTAATTCATTTTTAAAATACCCTGGTATTTGTTTATTTGCTTTTGGAATATGAAATATAATATTTTCAGGAAAATTACTTGTATCAAAGTACTTAATATTATCTTTCATATCTTTATAGAAGTATTCAGTGTAAATTAAATACCAAAGACTATCTGTATCAGTGTAACAAAGTTTGATATTATTATCTTTGTATATTTTCTTCATTACAGAATAATGAAAATTATATAAATGACTTTTTGCAAGTTCCAAAATAGTAAAGCCCACATATATTGGGTGATCCAAGATCACTTTTGTTGGTCGGAGTTGAATGGCTACGAGGCTATCAGAAATAATTGTAAAATTTTTGAAATTAGGCGCACTAACATATTTTTCTGCACCACAGACTTTATTTGTGTTATTAAAATTATCTTTCCATACATTTACTAGCTTAACATCGACTTGTTTTCTTTTGTTCTCTATAGTTTTTCCAAACATTGAATTGATTTGTTTTTTAAAAAAGTCTCTTTCAAAATTAGATGTAGCATTTTGCCTTAAAGGTGTATTTAGGGAAATATATGGCTCTAAATATGCTTTTTGATTGAAAGCTAAAATCCTATGAATCTTCAATAAAACAAGTCCGTTTCTTAGGCATTCTTGTAAATGACGGTAATGGATAACATATTTATATTTATCATAAAGATTCGCAACCAATTTCTTATTACTAATGTTTGATGATATTGGAACTGTTAACTTTTCTGCTGCAAACGGTAAGTCAGAATGTTCATCATGAATATCGCGTGGATATTGCACGTCAACTTCGAGTATATATCCTTCATTAATATTAGAACTGATAGAGTTAATATCAAAACTTCTTAATTATTTTTGTTCTAAAAACCGAAAATTTTTATAAGGTAGTTGCTGCATCATAGCATAACCATACAAATTTACACAATCTAAATAAACTAAGAAAGAATTTGGATCTTCTTCATTAAAATTTGGTAAGTATTTGTTATTAGCCTTTGCATACCTTAACTATATATGCAATAATACTTAAAAAGATAGCCCTCCTCTTATAACATTTTCTAAAAATTGATAAATTTGTATATCAGTAATTAAATCCAACTCAATACTTGTCAACAATAGCATAGCATCCCAACTTAGTGAAGGTGATGAAACATAATGACAAGGATCGAGACCATAATAATTCAAAATCATGGATCTAAATTTCTCAAAAACGTCGCAAAGTAGTAAGACATCGCATTTCAGATATAACTCGGTATATTCACCTAAGTTTTTAATACCAAGATTTTGCCACACAGTTAAAGCATGATTATAATCTTCGCTTGTTATAGATTCTGATGTTAATTTATTGTAAAATTTTGATTGCTCTGGTAACTGAGTTTCTTTATACTTTTCCCAAGAATCTACATAGTCATAGCAATATACACCCTTTCTAAGACATAATCGGAATAAATTTTCATCTGAAAAGAATGTTCGCAAATGTTTTAAGTCTTCAGGATTTAGAGTTTGTGCTAAATGATCTAAACTTGAACTCAGGAAATTAAAGGAGTCTATAAATTTTAATTGCGCTGACTTCTGCAAATCG